TCGCGTTGCTAAACGTCTCTACTACAATAAAAAGTTAGATGAATTTAAATCAAATGCAAAATCAACTTGGAAATTACTTAACGATCTTATTAACAAGAAGAAAATTAAGTGTAAGTTGCCTTCCACCTTCAAATCTAATGAAGAAGAAATATGTAATCCTACTCATATAGGAAACCGTTTTTGCGAGTATTTTACGAATATTGGACCTAACTTAGCTTAATTGATTCCGGCGTCTGACAAATCTCATCGTTCTTTTCTGAATGGAGGCTTTATTAATTCATTTTTTCTTCAATCGGCATGAGAACAAGAAGTCACTGAGATTTGTAGCAGCTTTCGATCCGGTACTGCTCCGGGATATGATAGTATTTCAATGAATGTTGTTAAAGAGTCTTTTAACTTAATCTGCGCACCATTGACGTATATTATTAACTTGTCTCTTAATTCTGGAGTTGTGCCCCAAGAGATGAAAATTGCACGAGTTATTCCATTATTTAAATCTGCTGATAAATCTTTGTTCACAAATTACAGACCCGTATCATTGTTACCAGTTTTCTCTAAATTCCTAGAGAGAATCGTCTACAATCGCCTCATTAATTTTTTAAATAAATATGATATTCTTTCCCGGAATCAGTATGGATTCAGAAAAAATTATTTTACTGCACATGCTTTAATCCAATTGTATGACAAGATCTCAAATGCACTTGAGAACAAAAGGGTAACTTTAGGCCTATTCATTGACTTATCTAAGGCCTTTGATACAGTAAATCATGAAATTTTACTCGACAAATTAGAACATTATGGAGTACGTGGTATTGCTTTACAATGGTTTAAAAGTTATCTATCTTGTCGAAAAGAATTTGTGCAATATAATGGTTACAACTCTTCATCATTAGATATCACTTGCGGAGTCCCTCAGGGATCTATCTTGGGTCCCCTGTTATTCTTAGTATATATAAATGATCTATGTAATGTGTCAAAGGTCTTAGAGCTGATACTATTTGCAGATGACACTAATATCTTCTATTCGCATACTGATGCTTCCTATCTTATGGAAGTTGTAAATTTAGAATTGAAAAAGATAACGTGTTGGTTTTATACAAATAAGCTATCTATTAATGTTAAGAAATCTAATTTTATCATATTCAGACCGAGACAAAACAGGCAAACACTTGATTTAGCTTTTAATATTAGTAATTATTCGATTGACCGTGTTAAGGAAGCTACTTTTCTTGGTGTAATTTTGGATGAACATTTAACATGGAAATCACATATACATAATGTTGCTAGGAAAGTGTCTAAAGCCATAGGTATAATTTATAAATCAAGTTTTTGCCTTAATAATTCCTCCTTACGGATGCTTTATTTTAGCCTTATCTACCCATACTTATTCTACTGTGTGAGCGTCTGGGCATCGACCTACCCATCAAACCTCAGAAGATTAATCACACTTCAAAAACGGGTCGTAAGAATAATGTCGAGGAGTGCTTTCGATGCTCACACTGACCCCTTATTTAAAAATTTAAAAATTCTGATTCTTGAGAGTATCTACAAACTTCAAATAGGAAAATTTATGTATCAATACAGATCTGGCTTACTTCCTTATAGCTTCAATAACATGTTTCTGGTGACAAGCGAGGTGCATTCTTATGGCACTAGAAGTTCGGAGCATTTTTATTTACCACAATGCAGGACTAACATAAGAAAGTTCTCCATCAGTTTCCAAGGTCCTAAATTTTTTAACTCTCTTAGTTTTGAAATTCGAAATGCAACAAGTACCGCTTCCTTTTGCTGTAAGCTGAAAGCATTCCTCTTATCATAAATAGTAATTTATATATATATATATATATGTATTTTTTTTTCTTCCTTTGCTCTTTTATTTTCTTTTGTTTTGTTTTGTTTTGTTTTTTTCTTTTTGTCATTTCGCTTTTTTTAGCCTAGAACTATGATTAGTACGACTATCTAATATACTTATTTTAAGATTTACTGTAGCTCTGCCATTGATTTTCCCGTGTGTAATTATGATAATATTTTGTTCTAATTATCTAACTGAGGGAGCCCATTCCTTATAAGCCCGGTGGCTTCTCTTGGGCTTCCTCGCCATGAGAGTTAAGGCAATTAGATTTTATTTGATTTGTATAATTTTTTTGGCAAACAAAACAATAATAATAGATGCTGGCCTTGTGAGTGAAAACGCTCTATATAGGCCACTTTTGTTTGTTCTTATTGTTGTATTTTCTTCAACGTACGCGAAAGAAGAAAAAATTGTCATCAACCCCACAGGAAACTTGCTCCCAGGCTACCATCAACTTGATGCATGCACACAATCGGACCATCAACTGTATAAAAACATACAGACACTTTATTAAGCATCCCTAAAAAGGGCTTTTCAGTATCAATATAATAATAAAATAATTAAAAAAAATAAATGAATGAATGAATGACTTATTTAATCAATAATTTAAAAAAACTATGTGCAACAATAACTAAATAGTGACTTTGTACAAAATTCAACTTCTAACCTAGTTCATGTTACAAATCAGTTCATTAATTAGACGTCTCTTAAAAACATGAGTATTTATGAAATCCCTGAAGTCTTTACTTAAATTATTTCATATTTTCACACCACGGCAAAAAAAAGCGCGTTAGCCAGCATTGATTCTACAAGAAATTAGATGATAAATAAAGGCAGAAATAAATGCAATTACTCTAGAAAGGCATTTTGTATCACGAGACTTTAAGATAGACTGTTTCTGTGCTCGGGTTGGGATAAATAATCAGTACCCGTAGCCCCGGTAAAAGCGGGCTGACCGTCTCTTACCCTAGAGAAACGGCTAGGCCACTGGGTATACAAATGATGCCCTTATCATATCTGGCTGTTATAGCACAGCACTCGTGCGCGCGAAGTACTCGCAGCGGAGCACTGTGGGTGAGAAAATTTGCTATCTATGCATCCAAGGAATTTTGGTTCAACAAAATCTTTAGCTTGTGAGCAAGTTCTCAAGGGCGCTCTGGCGGCGCGGCGGGAAAAGGAAGGAGAGCTTGCAACTACGTCTCTGGAATTTGAATGTCTGCATTGAAAAAGTCGATGCGAAATGTTGATTGGCGGGGATGACTTTAGTAATGATTTCACTACCCTTAGCACGTGTTTTTTAATGTTTGTTTGCCTTAGCTCTCTTTTTCGCTTCTTGCTGATTGGTCGACGGAGGAGCCACAGGGAGGTGGAATTCAAATTCCAGAAACACGTAGTTGCAAGCTCTCGATCCTGCCTTTTCTCGCCCCACCGCCAGAGCGCCTAGAGAGCCTGCTCGCAGGCTACAATGCAAAATCGTCCGCACGTACGTCCACCCCTTGATGTTAGCGGATGTGAAATGGCAAACTTACTAGCTGGGAGTCCAAGGAATATACTATCTGTTTCTAACTTGGAATTGGAACTCCATGTTATGATCAGTTGAAACCTGTCAAGGAAGACTATCCGCTGACCAATGTCACATGACTGTAACGCGGGCTCAGGTATACAACTCATTAACATGATATACAAACATTAACCACAAGGCACTGCAAAGGACCGCAAACGAATATGCCGAAGAACTGACGAGCCCCAAAGAGGGCGAAACAGTTGTCTATGGCTACAATCCCGCTCTGTTTTGAGTTCTTTCGGTGTCGTGATGATGTCTTGCAGAGTTAATTTTCACGTAGTACGATCAGCATTGCAGTATTCTGCTTGCAGAATTTAATATGTCTACATTAACATGACGTATTTTTTGGTTCTAACCAGTTTTTGGTTTTCAATTGATCGCGGGCTCAGGTCCATTTCTTAAAGGTGGAATTCAGTTTGCTTTTTTCTTACGGCAAAGGTTGAATTACTTGAGAAAGACTTTTGGCCTTGGCTAAATCTATATATCATAACGTTAACTATGTATCAAACATTCGCCTACCTGTACCAGTAGACAGAAACAGTAGCCCCTTTGCAGCTAACCATTCACGTGGTACAAAATCGCCGAGCTAGAGAGCAAAAGTCGCACTGGGACAAGACAAAGAAAAAGCATACATAATTTTAAATGATAATTTCCTTTGTTTGTCTCGTCCCAGAGCGACTTTTGGTCTCCAGCATGGCGGTTTTCTACCACGTGAATGGCTGGCTGCAAAGGGCCTATTATCAGTCTAAAACAGCGCTAAAACGTGCGTGCCAGAAGTCCTTGTGAGTTTTTCCCACTACGAAACCCTTAATTTACTGTCTACCTTAATTTGCTTTTTGGGGTCAGTGGCGATGAAGCTTTTCACTGATCTTTGTTTTGAAGGAGCGGTTGGGAGTTGTGAAGTTTTCTGTTATGGATCTTTCTATTTTGTTTCTTCCGCTAGAAGATTACAGTGTTAAATCTTCGATCTAGTCCGGCTTTTGCAGGACTTGCCGTAAGAAAATTCATCTTAATTGATAAAAAATTTGGTGACCAATTGGTAAGAGCCACTTTCCCCTCGAAAAATCTCCAGGTGGATCTACTAATGAAAGCAGGTTCTGCTTACCAATACATTCATTTGTACAAACGTAACGTGTTTTGTGACCATTTTTATAGCTGAATATTATTTACAACGGGGAATTACTCACAGCAACCGCTGACTTGAATAAGCATATTAGCACACAAACATCTAACGGATTGGAGCGAAATGGATGAGTCATCCCTGCTCGCAGGTCTCGACTAGTGCATGGTTAGGCGTAGGGAGGGAGTGTAAGCTTCCTTCTGCCCCCCACCCCGCGTTTGCTCGCATCAGTAGTAGAGTCAATAACGCTCACTCCTGCTTACCTTTCGAGATCCTTGTTTTCCTCATCCAGCACCTTCTCCTGCATAGCTAAACACTCCAGCAGGTTAGTTTTCGCTGCCTGTAACTCATTGTTTTCTTTAAGAACCAATGCAACCTCATATAGGGACAACGCAGTTTCCATGTGCTCCCCCAAGAACTCCCTCCTAATTTTCAGACCTTCCACAGAACATTTTTTAGCATCTTCAAACCTTCCAAGAGAACGGTAGTTTTTTTGACAGGTTGTTTAGAATGGTAGCTGTAAAAGGATGGTCGCCCAGCTTTACTCTGTATATTTCAAGCGTTTTACGTGTTCTCCAATTTACTGCTTCTTGGAGGAGTTCATTGGCTGTTTCTTGTCGACATTCTCGTTGATGATCTGCCGATTCCAGGGAGAGGACAACTAGAACACAGAAGAAAATTACAGTCTGGTCGCTGGATTTAATGATTTAATGTTCTTAAAGATTTTTGCTCTTAAATCCAACGTATCACATTATCAGATCTTATCACATGATCAACATTAAGATCATAAAAATATTTAACCTGTTTGCATCTGTAAAAGGTTAAAATGAAATTCAGGCTTAAGTGGCTTTTAAGCTAGGAGACAAAGCAAATGGAAAACAAACTAAGATAAAGCTTCAGTTCAAAGAACAACGAAACGTTGGAAGAAACGTTGCCCCTGGTAGGGGGTTCATCCACATACAGGGGCTACCCTGTGCGAGCCAACTTATCAGACATTTCCTTACAGAGCGTGGCGAGCCGTGTACACGAGAAACAAAACGTTTGCTCCGCTAGACGGGTCACCCTCCTAGCCGGGCCATGCAACGTTTCTTCCGAACACTGACTTTGACTCGCCCATACGGATCAACTCGGTCAAGATGAGACAATCACAGCATGTGAGAGTTTAAGCAAAGGGGTCAACCTTTTTCCCATATAAACGGTCGCTAAAGTTGACTCGGCTGGGAGGATAAGCCTTCCACCCGGGAAAGGTTTTGTCCATATAAATGGGGCCTTACCTGCCAAGTCATTGTATGTTGCACCTAACATGACTTTGTCCTCTTCTCCATGCTTCTTGCGAATATCGATTGCTTTTTGAATCATCTCCTTTCCTTCAGCAAATTTACCGTCTATGATGGAGACACAACGGCCATATTTGGCAAGGCATAGACCATTCCCGCATTCGTCACAAGCACGCGCGCGAAAACATGAAAGTGAGGCTCGGGTGGACAAACATCAAACATGGCGGACAACACCTTCACTTCTTCGCGCGGTGGCCGTAGCAAATATTGTTGTGTCCCTGGTTGCAAAAGTTCCTTTTATAACAATCAGGGGGAAAAAACTAATATTTCATTTTTTTCTTTTCCTCTGGAGGCAAAAAGTAGGAATCGGTGGCTTTTGGCAATTAAAAGACAAGAAAACAGAGACGGATTTGTTGTGACGGAATACACTAAAGTGTGTGAGCAACATTTTCACCCTGACGAAATTAAAAAACAGTTCAGTGGCAGGAAAGATCTGAAAGACAAGACTACTATTCCTTCCATTTTCAGCTGGAATAAAAGTGCGAGCACACCTAATCGAAAATTACCAAAAAAGAGATGTTCTGAGCAAAATGAAGAAAATATTCAGCCTGAATCAGAACCATGTTATTTAAGCTCTAGGTTGCTTAATGAAGACAATGCAAGACCGACAGAGGCCTGTGAAAATTGCGCTTATTTGAGAAGAGTCGTGGAAAAGTTGGAGGTTAAATTGTCACTTTTGATTAAACAAAAAAGTGACGTTGAAAAAGATTGGAGTGAGCTGAAAGCCAAAATACAAAAACTGGAAAAAGGAAAGTTTACATCCAAGAACATCAGAGAACAAGAAGACGTTTTCAAGTCATTCACTGGTTTTCATCCAGTTAAGTTTGACATTCTTTTTCAATTTTTAAATCCTGGTGAGAATGCTAGTAATTTGAAATACTATGAGCCTTCAAAGAATGGGTCAGATGAACCTGATGAATGTAAATTTACTGAAGGAAGTAAGCCTGGTGTGAGCCCTAAATTGGATGTGATTGAACAATTGTTTATGTTTTTGGTGTGGTTAAGGTGTGGATTTGGACAGAAACATCTGGCGTGGTTATTTGGACTTGGCAAATCAACCATTTCCCGGTACTTGATCACCTGGTCAAATTACTTGTACTTCTGTTTGGGAAATATTCCCATATGGCCTTCTAAAGATCAGATTGTTTCATCCATGCCAATGTGTTTTAAGGACACTTATCCCTCAACAAGATGTATCATTGACTGTACAGAAATCTTTGTACAAGTGCCTTCTAGCCTAACTACACAGAGTGCCCTTTACTCACACTATAAGCACCATGTAACATACAAAGCTTTAGTGGGCATCAGTCCTTCTGGAGCTATAACTTTTGTGAGTCAGTTGTACCCTGGATCGCTGTCAGATAAGGAAATAGTTTCCAGGTGTGGTATACTACACCCAGAACTTTGGGAGAAAGGGGATTCAATTATGGCAGACAGAGGATTTACAATCCAGGAATTACTTGACCCTCTAGGAGTTAAGTTAAACATACCTGCATTTCTTGATGGCAAAGAGCAGCTTGACAAAGAAGATGTTGTATTTAGTCAAACAATCGCCTCTGTTAGAATCCATGTAGAACGTATTATTGCTCGCATTAAGAAATTTAAAGTCTTAAAGACTGAAATTCCACTAAATATGAATGGGACCATAAACCAAATATGGACAGTGGCTTGTCTTCTATGTAACTTTATGGACCCGCTTATTAAGCAATAATAATGTTATGGTTTTATCATCATTTCCTTCAAAGTGCCCAATGATTTACAAGGATCAAGTTGGTTTATGAATAAATACCGAAGCTGAATTTTCGCTTTTCAAGACTAACTAACATTTCTTTTGTCAATGAAAACACTTTCCCTTTTAGAATAATTGATATTTTGCAATAATTGAATTTCCACGATTTTCAAACAGTACCTTTCTTGAGATTATTGCGCAAATCATTGCTCTCATAGAAATTGAACAGAAATTGTTAAGTAATTGCTGAACATGTAATACTTTTAATATTCTTGTCATGGAAGTAATCTTTTTTAAGAATTCTATGAAATACTCCTTCTCGTATATTTTCAATAAAATACAGTAAAAATATGCATACAAGAACCTAGATTTTTCCAACTTAGCCTAAATAGGTTCTTATAGAAATGGTATTTAGTGGGATTCTGGGCTACTTAGGTTCTTAAACAGGCTCTTAATTTTGATAGGGGTACTAGTGATCAGCACAGATAACTACTCTCGGGCATATGAGAGAGATCTGTATTCTTAATAATAATATTGCATTGTGTAATCCAGTATTGGCAAAGACATGATATGGTTTTCATTTTAGTTCATTGTTTGAATCTTACTGACTGAAACCTAGACTAAAAGTTTTTCTCCGTATTTTCATCTGTTTCATTTTTGTAAAATATTAACCTATTGAAAATTTTAGGCTAAATAGGTTATTATGAAAAGGGGGTTTAAAATAAACATTTTAGCCTAACAGGTTCTTAAATTTTAGGTTCTTATACGTGGGTTTTTACTGTACTGTAATAACATTGCAACGAGCAAAGTAACCTTATCCTTGAAGCCCTAACACCCATCAACAGGAGTCTAAAAGCTAGATACTATGGAAAACTGGTACACGTTGTAATGTCACCGTTTGCTCAGGCACAATGCACAATATACTAAACTGCATTTAGGCCATGACCTGAGGAAGAAACCACTTTACATAGAAGATGTTTACTTTACATACTACTTGGTCAAAATAATCTTTATTAAATGGAACCCTTGTGATGATCATCCCTTTAAATAGGTAGACTACAAAGTCAACCCATTCTAAACCACAGAAACCCATAACTAGCTGGACTTGGGTGTAATATCCTAGGTGATGATCTTTCTTCAGGTTGGGTTTACCATCAACTAATTCAATGTAAAACGATTCATCTTTCATTGCCTCCTCTGGGGTGTGGTTCTTCTTTCCCTCTGGACATTTCATTTCAATTGTCCCTATCTTCCCAGATGAGGAACATGGATCAATAACAAGACCATCAGGACTGCCTTCAAGCCAAAACATGCAAGGGGGAATCACCATTCCTGTCTCTCTCAAGGTAATTGGCCTCTTCAAATAGTGCTTCATGACATCATAATATTTTTCTCTTGCAACTGGCTCAAATTTTATGCCATGCTTTAGCTTTCTCTGCTGAATTGCTGGAATTTCATCTAGAGGCTTAAATGGCTGGTTAAGTTCCTTGGCAAGATTATTGAAACTTCGTTTCCTTACATATATTCTGTGACACACAGATGATCCAAGTCTATTTTTGCGGTGTTTTATCCACTCATCACATTCCCTTTGCTTAACAGTCCTTTTCTCAATATCAATACTTTCTTGGTGAGTTACTCTTAAGTGTTCAATGAATGTTTGTTGCACAGTACTGAAATGAACAGCTTCAGGTAAATCTGGGAAATGGAATGGCAAGCTTACTTTGTAAATGTCACTTGAATCGGCTTGAGCAGGGTTAACTGCCGGTTCCAGGTTAGTGACAACAGTGAAATTGAACTCCAAAGAACTTAAATGAAAAGAGAGGGGAGATCCAATGACCACTGGTCCATACCTGGTGTCTATATTAGTCAGCAATTCAGGCTTTTTTGGGATGACATGGGAAAAACCAATAAGAGGATGAATTGATTCCAATTCCTTTTGCATTACTTGAACTCCACGGATGTCTAATCTTTTTCTTTCCTTGACTCTTGGATCATACAGAGTTGGTTTTATTCCCTTGTTCGTTAACTCCTTTTGAACTGATGTCTTCATTATGGGTTCTTTAGGTAGACCTTTCTCACCTTAGAACAAGAACAGAAAAAAGTTTGATCACTATGTGAATAACGCTTAAGTCACTTCAAAACTTTCAGACACATCATACAACTTTATCAAGACGTGCTTCAGCATGACCTATGCTATTATCAGTTTAATTCTTCTGCTAGCAGACGAAAACCGAACATGTTAACTACTTGCGTGAGCTGCCCAAAAGTACAGGTAGGTACTTACAGCTAATTGAAATCAATTTATACTTTACCTGGAATACCCCATTTCCTTGACATACTTGTACATGCTGCTTCCTCGGGTATCCTGTCAAAGTCTTCCAAAGAGTAACGAGCGAGTTCAAGTAGAAGACTCATCACATGATTACAGTATCCACTTTTGCCAGCTCTGCAAGTACAGTGTGCTTCCCGTACATTCCCAGATGTTACATCGAGTGAAACTTCTAGTTCGTGAATTTCTCGAGTACTCATGCTGGCACGACACTTTGCTTTTACCATAAACGAGTTACCAAATACCTTCGTATACACTGTGTCTGATGAAAGATACCGTTCTTCTTGAAATTTTAAGCCGCGCTTCAGGGTTTTTTTAATAGGCTTCGAAACGTCGTCAGCCTTTCGTTTGCCACTATTGTTCCGGTGTTCATCTATCTCTTTCCTTGTAAACACTGGCAAGCTTTTAAGAGACTTACACCACGGGATATCTTTCGCAGTTTGCGCCTTAGGCTTCTCGGTGTTGTCCGCCATGTTTGATGTTTGTCCACCCGAGCCTCACTTTCATGTTTTCGCGCGCGTGCTTGTGACGAATGCGGGAATGGTCTATTNTTCTTTCCTTGACTCTTGGATCATACAGAGTTGGTTTTATTCCCTTGTTCGTTAACTCCTTTTGAACTGATGTCTTCATTATGGGTTCTTTAGGTAGACCTTTCTCACCTTAGAACAAGAACAGAAAAAAGTTTGATCACTATGTGAATAACGCTTAAGTCACTTCAAAACTTTCAGACACATCATACAACTTTATCAAGACGTGCTTCAGCATGACCTATGCTATTATCAGTTTAATTCTTCTGCTAGCAGACGAAAACCGAACATGTTAACTACTTGCGTGAGCTGCCCAAAAGTACAGGTAGGTACTTACAGCTAATTGAAATCAATTTATACTTTACCTGGAATACCCCATTTCCTTGACATACTTGTACATGCTGCTTCCTCGGGTATCCTGTCAAAGTCTTCCAAAGAGTAACGAGCGAGTTCAAGTAGAAGACTCATCACATGATTACAGTATCCACTTTTGCCAGCTCTGCAAGTACAGTGTGCTTCCCGTACATTCCCAGATGTTACATCGAGTGAAACTTCTAGTTCGTGAATTTCTCGAGTACTCATGCTGGCACGACACTTTGCTTTTACCATAAACGAGTTACCAAATACCTTCGTATACACTGTGTCTGATGAAAGATACCGTTCTTCTTGAAATTTTAAGCCGCGCTTCAGGGTTTTTTTAATAGGCTTCGAAACGTCGTCAGCCTTTCGTTTGCCACTATTGTTCCGGTGTTCATCTATCTCTTTCCTTGTAAACACTGGCAAGCTTTTAAGAGACTTACACCACGGGATATCTTTCGCAGTTTGCGCCTTAGGCTTCTCGGTGTTGTCCGCCATGTTTGATGTTTGTCCACCCGAGCCTCACTTTCATGTTTTCGCGCGCGTGCTTGTGACGAATGCGGGAATGGTCTATTGGGCTCTGCTGTTACCGGTATCAATTGGAAGGTCGCTCTGGATTCTATCGGCTTCCGTAAAGTAATCTTTAGCTATCTTCCCAGCTTCAACAGACAAATGAGGGGAAAAGAAACAACTGAATGCCTTTTTGATCCCAAGTGAAGTAAGACAATCACTCAGTCTTTCTTTATCTTGCAACTGTTGGCACTTGTCTTTCAGCAGATTAAAAACCGCATTAAATCGCTTCTCTCCCATCATCTTTGCAAGTAGCTCGGCTGCTTCGTTGAACACATCAATACACTTGAGGGTTCGTTCTACATCCATGACGCCACTCTTGAACCAGTCGAGAAGCTGCATGATATTTTCCACTTCCTGACGAAATGTAGCGCAAGCTTCAAAAGCATCTTTACTCAGGAACTTCTTGAAAACCTCTTCAAGGAGAGAGAGAAAGTAGTCGATAAAACTCTTTCGGCCGTTCTCGTATACTTGTTTTGCACCTTCTTCTTCGGCCTTGTTTTGGCAGTAGAGTTTTTGGACTCCAAGAAGACTGTACCAGCACGGAGCTTTAGGGCCTAATATGTTCCTTTCTAAGAAAGATCGACTAGCCAATTCCAAAATGCGGCCTTCTAACCCCTCTGAACAGAAGACTTCTTTAGCTGTTGACATGGTAAAATGTCCTTTAAACAGCGAAAGACAAATAAGAGTGTGTCGTAGATCCTGGTCAAGTCTGTAAAAGCAAGCGTCAAGGCACACGTCTATTTTCTTACTTGCATCAGTTTCAGGAATTGATATAAATTTCTTGAATTGGTCCTTTGGGTTGGCGTTGGTCATCATTTGCACAAGATCGGGTGGATGGTCTTGCCAAGAAGCCAAGGAAATAAGGGCGAGCGGAATACCATCACAAATATCGGCTATTATGTAAGCAATTTCTTTGTCCAGCTGAGGGTTACAATAGGTGTTCTTCAGAAGCTCAAATGATTCACTCCTCTCTAACGAACGCAGGCTTACTATGTGTTGACATGTTTGTGAAAAAGACGCGCGCACTGATGAGGTAACGAGCAGCTTGACGTTAGTTGAGGCTGTGATGATTTCTGTGATGAACTTTTTAACTTTAAACCCTTCTGTTTGGTCAATCCTTGTTATCTCCGGATTCATGTTGGCTTCGTCATTGCGATCCAGGGGCTCTAAGTATTGAAAATTGTCCAGCAGCAATATGACGAGGAGATCTTTCTCACTTATTAGCCTCCTTTTAATTTCTGCAGTGGACTCATTCAAAGGGAAATGATAGATTTGCTGGGAAATCTTCGCCGCAAGATCATCACATGAATTGACAACACAGCAGTTGATGTAGACGACAGCAGTGTTATCGTCATTATCTCGAATCTCGTTTGCCGCTTTAACAGCAGTGGCTGTTTTTCCCATCCCAACAGCACCGTGTACCAAGACACAACTGCAGTCGTTTTCTGGGTGTAGGAGAAGATGTTTCTTAATGTCTTCAATTTCTTGCTCGCGATTAACAAACTTTCGAATAGGACGCGGAAGATGGGACAAATATCTACAAGCGCCTGTAAAACAAATTACGTATTGTTGCTGTATATAGTCTGACGCAATTTCTCAAGATTTACTTTACATGCATTAACTAAACGGTAAATTAACGAAAAACGATACTGGTTGAGCTCTTAAGTGACTATAAATAGATCATGTATTACACAGTAATTTATTATAAGTTATTATAACTCCTAAAATGGAGTAAAAATTTTAGGTACAGGATAACCCCTTTTATGGGGTTACTTTAACTCCTAATTTAACTCCAAATTTGGGGTCATTTTTACTCCTGAATAAAAGTTCTTTTGACTCCCAGTCTGGAGATAAAATAACTCCGAAAATGGGATTATTTTTACTCCTTACATTGGTTGTTTTTACTCTTTTTGGAGTTACTTTAACTCTGAAAGTGGAGTAAAAATTTTACGTACAGGATAACTCGCTTTGGGGGGGGGGGGGGGGGGGGGGG